CTCTCTCTCTCTCTCTCTCTCTCTTCCTTTCTTTCTCTGTCTCTATTTGTCTCGTTCCTTTCCGTTAAGCGAGTAACTTTATCAACTTAAAGAAAGAAGGGAATATTGAGTTTCGTGGCCGTCGGTATCCGATCATAACATTGATAATGATTCTCTTTCTACGCCTACGGGCCGGTGTCTGGATAAGGGAGATGAAAGGTACGGGCCGAGCAATACTCTCGCTAATACCGAGGGACCGAGACGCGAACGTCTCTCTTTCTCTCTCTCTCTCTCTCTCTCTCTCTCTCTCTCTCTCTCTTTCTTCCTCTCTCTTTCTAACCCTCCCACTCTCTTTCTCTCTCTCTCTCTCTCTGTCTCTCTTTCTCGGTTCCCGTTGTATTCGAAGGGAACAATAGCGACGAGCTCGATCTCTGAAAATATTTTCAACGACGGACTTTCGATCGATCGATCGATCGATCGATCGATCGAAGGAAACGTTTGCGTCGAGTTAAGTTCGGGTACTGTGTAGACGTATATATATATATATATATATATATATATATATATATATATATATATATATATATATATATTATACGTATATGAGCATTCGAATCGGTTATTGTATTATGTCGATTTTCTAATATTATATCGTAGTTTATGATCTCTCAAGTTGATCTATTTATTTTTATAGAATTTTCATTTTGGGAGAATCCATTTTTTTCTTTGCTTGTTTTATTTTCCTTTTTTTTCTTTTTTTTGGTAATTACATCTTCCTTCTTTATTTTTATATTTATCAACATGGATATGATTAGGTTTGATTGTGTTAAGATTGAAGTGAAATATTTTTCTACACTCGATAATATTCAATCAAAAAGTTTTGATCATTATTATTATTATTATTATTGTTGTTGTTGTCGTCAATGTGATGTATTTTTTAATTGTTGATGAGAAGAAAAAAAAAGTAAAAGAATAAAAAAAATTGCCAACAAACACACGGTATTCCCAAGCGGTCACCCATCCAAGTACTAACCGTGCCCAACGTTGCTTAACTTCAGTGATCGGACGAGAACTGGTGCTTTACAACGTGGTATGATCGTTGACTTATAAATCAAAATTTTATTACGCAATTTTGTTCTACATTTCATTGATTTTATTAAATGTTTTTTTTAAATTATAAAATATATATTGCTATTCGTATATATGTAAAAGATTAAATGACGTATATAAAACAAAGGAAAAAATTCATATTTTTTATCCAACGTATACGCGTGAATGTACGACGTATCTCATCGAAAAATCTCGTATATCTTACCAGTAATAATTTCAAAATTTATATATGTACTATAAACATATAAAAATACTTACAAGATTTGATTTTGAAATTTAAAAAAAGCAAAAAAAGAAAAAAAAGGAAAATAGAAGGAAATCTAATATAAAAATTAGTCCAACGACAAAAAAGGAGTACACATAAATCACTTTTCTCTCCTTCTTTTTTTTTTTTCAAAATCGTCCCTAAAACATTTTTTCTTATTCATTCTAACATAACCTTTCTTTTCGAATCTCACTTAGAAATATTTGACCTTTCCAGTGTGAAACATTGCCTGAAAAAATATAGAATTTCTATCACGATCTAATCTATGAATATCTAACGTACGCTATAAAGATTTGAATCTCGTAATAATCGGAAAAAAAAAAAGAAGAAGAAAAGAAAAGAGAAGAGAAGAAAAAGGAAATGAAAAAATTAAAGACGAAAGAAAGATTTCACATTTGTGTTGAATAGATATTCCAACTGATGACTGATAATTCAATCAATTTTTATCCTTTTATTTATAAAAAGAAAAATAAAAAAATACATTTACGTTACATCACAGATATAAATATATATATATATATATATACACATATAAATAATAGTATAAAGCAACATAACCTAAAATTTTATAATCATTAAAATTATAACCAAATTTTCCCACCAATTCTCTCTCTTTCTCTCTCTTTCTCTATCTCTATCTCTATTTCTCATAAACATACACAAACACATATTTTTTCTATCGAACACAAAAAATCTATTTTCACGAAAGACAACAAATTCGTCAATAAATTTATGTAATTAAATTCTGTATAAAATTTTAACGGACCGTTAGAAGTTTCACGTTGAATTAAGAAAATGTCACGTAAGTAAGCAAGTAAATATTTATACAGAGAGTTAATATATGGGACATCGTACGATCGTAAAATCGAAAGAACGTAAACGAAATTCTTCGAAAGTTTGCACAATAAACATAAAGAAGACAAAGACGAAGAATAAAAAGAAGAAGAAGAAGAATAAAAGAGGAAGAAAAGAGGTTTGTTAATCAAAGATGGCGGATCAAATAAATTATCCTCAGGTGTGTGCGTAAATCAACTTGGAATTGTTAATTAGATGGGTAAGAGAGAGAAAGAGAGAGAGAGAGAAACATACACAAACAGACAGACAAGCAGACAGACAGCCAGACGAGCAGACAAACAAACATAAAGAGAGAGAGAGAAAGAGAGAGAGAGAGAGGCTAAATTTTCTGGAAAATGTCAGCACCTTCATTTTACACTTCGTCTTCTTCTTTTTCTTTTTCTTCTTCTTCTTTTTCATCTTCATCTTCTTGTGTGTCAGATCTTTTGAAAGATTTTCTTCTGAGATCAAAGATTTCGTGTGATTTTCAAGAAAGTTAAATGGTATTTTATCGATAAATATTGATAAATTTATTTAATTTGTCGAATGGAGAAATTTCGATAAATTAAAAATTTTAATATCTTCGTAAGAGAGAGGGGGGAAGAGAGAGAGAAAGAGAGAGAGAGGAAGAGATATGTAATTGTTCATTTGAAATCTTTCTAATGAAACTTAGTGATTTTTTAACATATTGATTTTCTATTGAGGTTAGGTTTCTTTTTTTTTTTTTTTTTTTTTAATGAAATGAAACAGAATGGAATGAAATGAGAAATGAATCGTTTGAGAAAAGTAATAAAATTGATTCTCATTAATTTTTCGTACAATTATAAAATTGATTTTCTTTTTTTTTTTTTGTAAAAAATTAAATGAATTTTCGATAAATTTTATAACAATGAAATACAATGAAATGAAATTAAATTGCAATGAATTTATTTGAATAATAAAAAGAATTTTAATGAATACATCCCGTAAAATGAAATGAATTTTTATTATAAATTATCCATATAATGAAATAAAATTATATATCAAATATAATATAATTATATAATAAATTTTCTGAAAAATGAAATCGAATAAAATTATAATAAATCTTTCGAAGGACGTAATCGATTGAAATTATAATGAACTTTTCTGTAAAACTGAAATGAACCGAAGTTATAAAGAAATTTCAAAAAAAAAAACAAGAAAAAAACAAGAAAAAAAAAAAAACAAAAAAAAGAAAAAAAAATAAAAACAAAACAAAACAAAACAAAACAAAAAACAAAACAAATAATGAGATTATAATGAACTTTCTGTAAAAATGAAATCAAATGAATTATTCGAAAAATGAAATTTAAATATCATTCTTTCATTTCACAATGTTAGAGTTTTTTTTTTAGAGATGAAAGTTGTGCGTAGAAAGAAAGATGCTAACACACACACACACACACACACACACACACACACATACAGAGAGAGAAGTCAAGAGATATATGTTTATACTTATAGACGATCGGATTAAAAAATAATATTTACTTTTTCGGAATAGATTGACACATTGACACATTCGCACAATCTGACACAATATCACACGACAGTGTGATATTTCTGTTTTAGTAGAATTTTAAAGGAAATTGTTTTTTTTTCCCCTCTTTCTTCCTTTTTGAATTTCTATCCGGAATAATTCCACGATTAATTCGAAAGTATACTGACACCAATTAGGGAAAAAAAAAAAGATTGATTTCATCAAACAAAAAAAGGCCAGAAATAATTAACAAAAAAGCTACAATGTTTCATCGCGATAAATTTGAGATAATTCGTCATAAGTTATTATATATACATCATATTCGATAGATCTAGTAAACTTGGATTATTACTGGTTTCAATTTTTGAAAAAAAATTCTCCTAACATTAGAAACATCGAAACTTAGTATATACTTATATTACCCAAAAGCAATCAAAATGACAATATTATGAACGAATAATTAATGTATTTTGAAATTTGTTTAAAATTTATTTTTAATATTTTTTTATATTATTAGATTGGAAACTATGAAACGAACGTTGACTATAAATAAATAACAAAACAAAAACGCCCGTTTCATAGTTTCCAATCTAATACATAATTATTTTTCTAATTGATATTAAAAAGCAGTCAAAATGACTTCCTTGGGCGATCTAATGTTAAACGATAAAAACATTCGCTTCAAATGATTATATTAAAAATCACTTGGATCAAGTTATTTGTAAGTGAGGATCAAAAATTTTGATAAGCGTGGAATTATATCAAAAAAAAAAAAAAAAAAAAAAAAAAAAAAAATGACAATATGTATTGGATCAAAATGTGATCGATATATATTATTCAATGAAATATTTATATATTATAAGAAAATTGTTTTTCGTTTTCACGAGAAAAAAAAAAAAAAAAAAAAAAGTATGATATATCCGCCATTGCTCTTTCGTCCTTGTCTTCCCATGCATTCATTTCTATTTCTCCTTCATCATGTCGACTTGAATTTTTTTCTTAGAGATACGTAAAGCCACGTATCAAATTTATTATTTTTTCTTTTTTTTGTTTTCAAAAATATAACCTTTGTACGTGAACATTTCACGTATGATAATTTGTCTTTGAAAAATATGACAAAAATTTAATATCATCTTGACTCATGTTTTCTTAATTAATCTATTTTATAACCTACGAAATTTTTTATTGTCAATATTTTAATTGTCGCATGATACAAAACACATATTCCTCGTTATTCGTTCTTTTTCAATCGTAATAAACTTTCGATTTCCTCGATCTCACTAATATTGTTCATAATTATTTTTTACTTAC